AAATAAAATAAAGAAAAGGTCGAACATCAGTCTTTCTCTCTCTAATATTTGGTGCCGTGACCGATTATTTTTATTATTTAACAATAATAAAAATCTTACCAGAGGACATTCCAAATTAGGAGTGACCTGTACAATTTTAATATTCTGAAAATCAATTAAAGAGGAAATTCATCTCGAATTACCTGTTAAAAAAAGAAAGGAGGAAAAAACAAGAAATTCTATAATTAACTGGGTTTACACAAGTGAATTATCAAATAATACACAACGGCTTACAATCTACGAAGCAGTAATACAGATCCCGAATACAGCGGTGATTTATTAACTGAAACGTCTGAACGTATAGTTAAGAAACTAATATCACAATCATTCAAGGACATTAAAGATCACACACATCGACGAAAGGAAACAATGGCTAACAACGTACAAGATTCAGCAATGATGATATGCTATCGAGAATGTTTATCAAATTTGGAAAAATTCAATGGTGGTGAAGAACAAAAAATTTTACAATTTATTAATAATATTGAAAGAATCGGCAAAATGATCGACGCAAACGATGATATTTTACATTGTATGTGTACAGCAAAATTAGATGGTGAAGCGAAACGCTGGTATGAGGATAACATGACATTAACTCAATGGGAAAATTTAAAATCAGCATTACTTGAAAGATTTACAACATCAGATTCGTCATCGAAAATATTCGAACAATTAAAAGAACGAAGACAAAAATCAGATGAAACAATTACATCGTATTATGATGCTGTTATTAAATTATGTCGAGAATATGATTCATCTATGTCACAAAAAATGATGATATCGTGGTTACAAAATGGAATCAAAGATTCATTGAAGACTCACATTAAACGGCAGATGAAATTATTACCTGAATCAGCACGAACAACTCAAGCATTTTTAAAAATTGCTAAGGACGAACAAGAATTACAAGAAGAAGATTCATCTGAACAACAAGCGACACAATCTTATTTACCATACATTACGAATACCGTATCAACAACATTACAACAAGCACGAAACGACTCGCAAAATGTACCAACGTCAACATATTCGCCATCACAACATCCAATATATAAACGACATAAACATCATGCTCCAACATCCAAATATTCAGATTCATCACAACTCCCACCAAATGGTCGAAATTCAACTTTACGACCACCACCTATTGTACGTAAGCAAGAATCACCTTATTTATCAACTAATAATTCGAAACATTATGAAGAAGCAAATGTCAAATCTTATTCATTCCCGCAACACTATTCACAACGACGACCATGTGATATATGCCAACGTAACAATCATCGAACAATTGACTGTTATTACAAAACAACAAATGGGTGTTATAAATGTGGACAATCTGATCATTATATACGTGATTGTCCGCAGGTTTTCTATTAACTGGAACCCGTGATGGTGGTCATTCCAGTAATAAACAACAAAATCCATCAACAATAAATTATACATTATCCAAATTATTAACTCCTATATATATAAATGTTCAGGTAAATAATAAACAACACCAAGCCATTGTCGATACTGGATCTGCAGTCACCATTATTAATCAACAATTATTAAAAAAGATTTATCACAAGGAATTTATTTACAAAAAGAAATTACACAAATCAGCTAATTGCTCATCTATTAACATTATTGGTGAAATTCAACTTGAAATTAAAATACAAGGGTATAAAACTTTTATTTTAGCAGATGTTGCAACGAATCTTATTACTGATCTATTACTTGGAAACGATTGGATTACGACAAATAATGTTATTATTGATACACCACAACGATGCATTTTTCTTACTGATCAAAAACGCCATATTTTAACAGCAGCACAATTCGTCAAACCATCACATCTTCAATTACCTGTACTATTAGCTGATGAAATTACCCTTCCACCACACTCCGAAAAATGCATTGATATTAAAGTATTATCATCAATGACAAGTATATCCGAAGCTTTATTCGAACCAGCAGCATATTTATATCCGAAACACATCTTTCTTACGAATGCATTAATTAAATTAGAAGACAATAGAAGTCAAATTATGATTATGAATGCAAATGATCGTCAAAAGACATTATCGAAGAATACTCCATTAGGATATATCTCATATCAATCAAAAGTCAATAATTATCTTATTTTACCTGTACTATCAGGAAAAAGGACTGATCGATCAACCATTACAAGAACAAATCTCTATAGGAGGAACCACTCCTTTGCGGATCGTTCCTGGGTTCCATCAACAAATCCAAAGAGGAAAGTCCAATCTTTGGACTTAACCTGTCGGATGGACGACAACGATGAACAACAGCCTCAATGTTATGTCTGTCAAGAAAAATTTTTATCACGCAATGATTTACAACAACACTTACGTCAGAAATGTTATCCATCAGAAATGCGAGAGCAGATTGGAAAATTAACTCAACACATCGAAAACACGAAACAACGACAACAATTACAACAAATTTTATGGAAACATGGAAAATTATTTGATCTCCGGCAACCGTCCATCATTAAAGCTACAGTCCATCATGCTATTGAAACTGGTACTCATCCACCAATTTATACTTCACCATATCGTGTTTCATACAAAGATGAACAAATCCAAAGGGAAGAAATTGACAGATTACTCAAGCAAGGAATAATTGAAGAATCTAAATCGCCATGGTCATCTCCAATAGTATTGGTAAGAAAAAAAGATGGTTCTGTTCGATTTTGTATTGATTTTAGGAAATTAAACAATATTACGACCAAAGATGCATTTCCTATACCTCGAATTGATGATATCTTTGATCATTTATCACAAGCTGAATATTATACAACCATCGACTTTAAATCAGGTTATTTTCAAGTTGGTCTGGACCCCAAAGATCGTCCGAAAACAGCTTTCTCAACCCGAGATCAGCATTATCAATTTACAGTGTTACCTCAAGGTGTTACAAACGGTCCACCAGCATTCCAACGCATCGTTAGTCAAATACTTGGACCTACAAGATGGCAATATTCATTAGCTTATCTGGATGATGTTATAATATATTCACCAACATTCGATCAACATTTAACACATCTTGATGATATTCTCAACCGTTTAAATGATGCAAATTTTCGTCTTAATGTTAACAAATGTCAAATAGCAAAAACGTCGATTGATTATCTTGGTCATCACATTGAACGTAGTACTATTAGACCGAATGCAGACAATATTCGTGCATTATTGGAAACTCCACAGCCAACAACAGCAAGAGAAGCATTTCGATTCGTCAAAGCTGCTGAATATTACCGCAAATTTATACCTGGATTTTCGACAATTGCACAACCCTTACATAAATATGCACCTACTACAAAAGAACAACGATCACAAAAATCACAATCTACACCTATTATTTTATCCGATGAAGAACTTCATGCATTTAATGAATTGAAACAAATATTAACTAATGATTTAGTATTACGTATTCCCGACCAAAATTTACCATTTAAGATACAAACCGATGCATCAAAAATTGGAATTGGAGCTGTACTTATGCAAACTCACCCAAATGGGGATCTACCACTAGCTTATTTATCAAAGAAATTTACAACAACCCAAATGAATTGGCCTGCAACAGAACAAGAATGTTATGCTATTATATATGCAATCGAAAAGTGGCATAAATATTTAGATGGACGTTCATTCACTATTGAAACAGATCATAAACCATTATTACCATTCAATTTAAAACAACAATTAAATTCGAAATGTGAACGATGGCGTTTAAAATTACAACAATATCAATTTACTATTCGATATATTAAAGGAAAACATAATACGGTAGCTGATTATTTATCCCGTTCACCAGTAGATAATGGAACAAATGATGAAGACGATTATACTCCAACACAATCTAGATCAACACAAACTGATAATTGTATGAAGACACAAATTATTGCACCTGTCATGACTCGTAGACAAGCAAGACAACAACCTAATGAGAGGACTGATCATCATTTATCAGATCAGACCTGTGATGGAAACCGACAAGCGAGGAATGTCGACATACCAATCGACCATTCCTGTATTCCAAAAGCCAACCAACTACCGACATCGATCTACAACACCGACTGTGATAAAATAATACCATTTACATTGGAACAATTAAAAGAATTACAACATCAAGATGACGAAATTAACAACATCATTTACAACATCAAGAATTACAAAGAATATTTTGTTAAAAATAATATGTTAATGAAGAAAGCATTTCCGCCAGTACCAGTTATACCCAAGGGAAGAATACGTGCAGACATAATTAAAATTTATCACGATACACCTGCAAATGGTGCTCATTTCGGTCGAGATCGCACCATCCACAAAATTCAACAGCGATATTATTGGCCTCATATGATTTCTGATATTCAAAATTATATTAAATCATGTGTGCCTTGTTTACAAAATAATCCTCAACGGCAGAAACCACCAGGTGCTTTGAAACCAATCAAACCTCCGGAAGGTGTATGGCAATTACTTACAATGGATTTTCACGGACCGATTACACCAACAACAAAACATGGTAATAAATATATTATTTTATTAACTGACGTATTATCAAAATTCGTAATTACGAAAGCAGTCCGTGATTGCACTGCTTCAACTGCCGCACAATTTTTGACCGAGGAAGTAATCCTGAAATATGGCACTCCGAAATGTATTCTTACAGACAATGGCACTCATTTTACAGCAACGATGATGACTGAATTATTTAAGAAAATTGGTATTACACATTTATATTCAACACCTTACCATCCAATGACTAATGGACAAATAGAAAGATTTAATGCTACAATGGATGCTAAAATAGCAGCATTATCAAATGAAAAACGTACGAATTGGGATGAACAATTACCATTTGTTACATTCAACTACAACACTACTATTCACAAAACGACTGGACAAATTCCATTCGAATTAATATATGGTCGTTCGCCAATTTTACCTTTTGATCAACAACAACCATTAGTTACCTTATCACAAGATCCGGAATACAAGTCAAAATTAAATCAATATTTATTAACATTAACTGAACAAACAAAAGTTAAAATATTAGAACAACAACGAAAATATAAAGACCGTTATGATCGATATCGGACCGATCCAACTTATAAAGTCGATGATCTCGTCCTTATTAAAACATTAAACAAGCGAAACAAATTCGACATACGATATGAAGGACCTTTCAAGATTACACAACAAATTGGAAGAAAAACATTTATCGTACAACATATTAAGAAGCATACATTAATACGGCAAGTTACAATAGATGTCCTTATTCCCTTATATGAACGAAAATATATGGATTAGGTATAAGCTGGATTAGTAATATACACTAGATATAGTCACCTCGTAGTTATCGGTGCCGGACGTATACGCATCATCGGCTAATTAGCCTTTGTCTTTCCTGTTCTCTCATTATATATATATTCTTTTTCTTCCTCACACTTCGTTATCATATACATCTTAAGAAAACACTTTTACCTTTTCTTTCTGTTACGATTCACATTTTTTTTTCCTTTCTTTCGTCTCTTCAGTATATATACATATATAAGGTCATTTCAATCAGCAACATCTTCGGTACAAATTAAATACATAAAAGTTGAATATACATATGAATCTTACACAGATTCATGAAAGCAACAACCATTTTGAGAGGACTTTTACGAGAGTCCTGAATATATATTTTTTTTTTCAGATATTTCAGATTTATATTATTTCCCATTATTTGTCTACGTACCGTAAGATCTATCCATATACATCCAAAAAAAAAAAAAAAAATTGTTTTTCTTTATTATTTTTTTTGTTTGTTTTTATTTATTTTTTTCTTGTTATTTACTAACACACAAAGATGAACTTTTCAAGAAAAAGTTCATGTTCAACACATTACAAACCTCATTATGTACCACCATATGAACGATTATTACGACGAAATCAGTTATGGAAGCCTCAAAAGGTGAAACAAGAACGAGATTTACAAGAAGAATGTCGGACAGGAAAATTAACACCATTCCAACAGCCTAAAAATTATTTATGTTATTTTATACATGAACAAACTGATATTTTGAAAATTGATGAATTAATTGATCAAGCAAAATTAACAAATCATTTCTCAATCGATACTGAAGATGATGCATTAACACATAAACCGGCAACATTACAAGTTGAATTTATTCGTCAAACATTAGCATCAATTGTTATTATTATTGAAGTTCAATTTTTACCACCGGTTACAAATCCATTATTTAAAAAAATACAACAACTATGTACAATAATATTTACATCCAAAAATCATATTTATTCATGGGGTTCAGCATCACAAGAACTTAAAAAATTTAATTCATTTAATCTATTTAATACAAATATTAAAATTCAAGAATCTGATATACAAGCCGAATACAGTGGTGGTCAAAAAGCAGCATTACAAAAAATTATTAAATATGAATTTAAGGAATATTTAAACAAAACCGCTACATTAGGTGAATGGGCATGCGGCATTGATTTAGTATTAGGTACTTATTTACCATTAGATGTAGTTGGTCCCGAACGTACATATCGAATTAAAGCAGAGAAAAAATATCGATCAATATTAAAAGAATATGCAATAAATGATGTCTTTGCTGTTACTAAATTATCGTACAAATTAAATTTAATAAAATTTTTAGCAACTAATGATTATAAAGATATTTCTGAAGATGAAGATAATATTGATTTACAACCAGAATTATCAATTGATATACCATCAACATATGAAGAATTAATAGTTCATGTAACCGATGAACTAGAAGAAATTAATGAAGATAAATTATCATATCAACAACGTGAAGACCTTGAACCATCTCAACAAATAAACAATCAAATTTATGAATCACTTAATAGTAATACAATATATGTTGAACCAGATGTTATTGAATTTCAACCTGATGATGATATGGATACACAATCTATACCTGAAATTATGAAGCTTCATTTTCATCATGAACCAGGTCATCGACTTATACAACAACATCGTAATGAACAGTCATCACCTCGACAGATGACAGTTCATGTAAGAAATGAACCGAATCAGGTAAGAAATCTCCATCATTTAGATACAACAACAACATTAACAAAAAAACAAATACGAAATCGAAAAACAAATCTTCGTCATCGTGCAAACCGTTATCGATTTAAAGTTATTCGACGAGTTTATCATTTATTTAGGCCTAAACAAATTAAACGTATATTAAAATCAATGAATATTTATACTCTTAATGTCAATGTGATCCGACATGAATTATGTATTGGACTTAAAGATCAGGCAACAGTGGACGAAGTAGAACGATTATTACATGATCGGATGTTCACAAAACAACATTACCATCGTCTATACAAGTAATCGATTTATATAGATATTTCTTTTTTTTGTTGAACATGTGTGTATTTTCGTTTTCTTTTATGAACGTTATTTCGTTTTTTTTCTTTCGGTCTGTTGTTTCTCGTTTTCTTTTCCATTTTTTGTTATTTGTTTGTTATGTGTGCGGACACACATTTTATTTTTGGGGGGTCGACTGTTAGCGGATAAACCTAACACTATATTGTTTTTCTTTCTTTCGTTC